TGTAAGGTATGTCCTAAACCTAATTACTTCTGAGTTATAAAAGGAGCAGATTAAACCCAGAGGCAAGCACATACCACAGAAGACAGATGTCATGTGAGGATCACCAAGGAACGAAGGAATGCCCCTGGCTACCTACAAGAAAGGAATCAACCCAGCCTAGACCCTGATTTGATCTTTTAGCCTCCAGAAAAGTGAGAAAATAAATTTCAGTTCTTTAATGACACCCACTTGTGGTACTTCTGTTATAACAGCACTATGAAACGAAGACAGCTACCTTACAGGGTCATTTTGAAGAGTATATGGGATAATCCACATAATGTTTGTGGAACTGCACCTTGCACAAATTAAGTACGTGTTTGCAATTATTATTCAGCAGTCTAGAAAATCCAAAGCAGTCAGGTCTCCAGACAGCTAATTTTTTGATATTGTCAAAAGAAGGAAACATTCTTCATTCAATGGAACTGTCAAGTCAAATAAATTTTCATAACTTAAAACTATATCTATATCGCTAACCATGCAATCCCTTCAAAATTATCCCTTCCCTGTTCTTTGAATGACTATTCTAAGCTTTCAACAAATTCAGCTGGCCCAGGTATCAAGCTTAAGAAATTTGAGTTTTTAGTTCCACCTAAAACTCAGTTAAGCCTTCAAACCAGATTCTAGCTCTTTTATAAAAATAAAAGGGAAGGAAACAAAACAAATTTACGAAGTATGAGAAATTCTGCCTAATTTGAGCCTTAAGCCATTGTTTAAACATTCTTTTAAAGAAAAGCCTCCATGATTAATTATCACTGACTTTTTTTTTCCTCTAGGAGATCAACAATCAACTAGATGTAACACTTGGGAGAATTTTTTTTTGGTTAGCCTATTAATCTTAGCCAGAAGAGAAGGGTGGGGGGTGTAGAAAAGATTTTAGAAACCATTCTATGAAAGCATTACATCTTCAGAAAGGCCAAGGCAGGTTTTTCCTTCCTTCTGCCCCCCAAAATGTAAGGATCTTACATAGCTACCTCCCTTAAGTAAGCTTAAAAAAAAAATCATTTTGAGCATTGCTCTTAGGCCTGACCATGCTTATTGATGATATGCTTATGGATCGTTTTCTACAATAGTCTTTTCTCTGCCTAGTGAGGGAAATCCATTCATTTTCCAACCTCAAAGAATAAATATGAACATAAATCTTCAAGAGATCTCAAGCTGTCATTTAGCTTACCTCTCTGATACCAGATGTTTTCTTAAATGATTTCCAAGAGTCATTTTACCATTTACTTAAAAACAGAGACGATCAGAAGTGACTGGATCAAGCAATTGGAGCACCTAGCTAGAGCTTTATTTTTCATATTTCTTCTGGAGTAATTTCTCTGAGTCCTATAGGAGATGGCTATGGTATTCACAGCCTAGTTACGGTAGTACAGTCTGTTACTCCAAATATGTTTCTTACATTTTCTTGGTGGTACAGTGGACCCTGGAAGACACTGTGGGTCTTTTTGTTTGATTATTAACTTTGTTTTATTTTTGTTTTTTAGAAACATCATTAATGAAGAAGAGGAAAATGATAATAAGGAAAGCCATACAGTACACCAGGTGCATTAAGCTAGCTGGAATATTCCCAGTTGATATCTTCTCCTTTACATATTTTTT